AAAGAATTATATTTAGAATATAAACTCAACAACAGTAGCCAAATAAATGACTTTCATAGTCTAAAGCTCGTGAATTCTGTATGAATTGAAAATCTCTAAAGTACAATATTAAGTAGAAATTTTGTTATATTAGTGTATTCTAACAAAATACAGTAATAATCTTCTGGAACATTCATTTTCCCACCTAACAATATTGTTAATATAAAATTTTAATTATAAGAAAAATACTTGACCAATGCATTTGTGGGATATAATTAACTCTCTTAACATGAAATTGCAGGCCCAACCTTGTTTTCAGATGCCTACCACAGTGCCTTAAAAGAAGAAGATATTCTACAGATGTTTAATTTCTAAGCACAATCTATTTTTCACAGACATTCAAAATCCAACAAAGTTTGCAAAGACATTTAAGTGGATATAGGCTTTCTGGCTGACTTCATTGGGTCCCACTGATGACTAGGTGTCAATCTTCATATCCATAGAGAACTGGAAAGCTGATAACTGTCTGGGTAAGGACCAAAAAAACAAAGTCAGGGACACATGTCACCTAAGTAACGACTGCGACTGCTTTACAGAGCTGGTGAGGGTGGACTGCTCATCCCCACATCCTAAGGTATCCTTCGCTCACTGAGCTGACCAAGTGAACAGTGAACAAATACATGTTTAATCAAGTTTTCAAGTAATTGCTTACTCAAAATAAGCCACTTTTCTCAAATTCTATCCTGATGAGGATTAGAAGGAAATATGTTTTTAATTCTTATTATGAGTACTACATTTTTAACAGCATTTAATTTAACTGTTAATTAGAAAATGTGAGAGCCACAGCAAATATCAAGAAAAAAAACTCTCAAGGAAAAAAAAAAAAACTTTCATGGTAATGAGAATTATACCAGGAAGGGGGGGGAGAGGAAAGGGAATTAATCTCACACTTCTTTGAGTGGAAAAAAAAAAACCAAACAAACCAACAATACCTACTTTTAAAACTCATATGGATTATGTCAGTCAGTTGGCCCTACTATGTACCTACCGTGTTTGCTATGAATGAGGTGCATACAAGGTCTAATCAGATGAAAAGTTTTGACCTTACATAGTTCATTAAGTCAAACTCATAAGTAAGCATTTACAATTCTAATTGATTTTGTAAATAGAGATTTTTAGTTCAAGAGCAAAAATATATTTACTTAGCTGATTAACTGCGGGTGGGGGATGGGGACTAGTAGTAGAGAAAGCTGAATGATTCTGAAGAAGTAATAATCCCCAACCAGTGAAATTAGTAACTCTCTAAAGAGGCAACATCAAATTACCGCTCTGTAAGTGGGCAAACCGGAGCTCTAAAGCCATGTACCTTCACACTCATAGGAAGGATCAGTCTAGACAGGCATGGGGGCTGCTTGCTTTTAATCCCAGGACTGAGGAGGCAGAGGCGGGTGGATCTCTGGGAATGAAGCTAGTCTGGTCTGATAGGGCTTTCCAGACCACAGACTCTGTCTCGAGAAAAGCCTCTGTAGAAAACTTTGAACTACGATACATGGAATTAGGCATGAAAGTTTTCATTTCTGACCAAAAACCTTAGAATCTTGAGAACATTCTTCAGGTTTTCTAAATATCACAGCGTGGAAAGTGACGAGTTATATAATGTGACCTCCAAGGTATTATCTACATGAAAAATTATCCTCCTAAAATATCAACAGTACTTAACACTTAGAATATAAGCATTCTAAAAATATACAAAAGGTTTTTAAGCCATAAATTGTTATCTCCTTTACAGAAAATACAGAGTGGTCTAACCGTAGTAGGGATTAAGTAAGAAACAGGAGAATAGGAATACTTTCACAGGAGAATACAAATAGTGGTCTAAGCATAGTAGGGATTAGGTAAGAAACAGGAGGATAGGAATACTTTCACAGGAAAATACAAACAGCTGGGTATGGTAACACACGCTTGTAACCCTACCACTCAAAATGCTATATGCAAAAGACCCTGTCTCAAAACAGAGGAAACACCAACTAAACACAGGCATTACGTTCAAGTCTGTAAATTTTCACTTAGCTGCCTATTAGACAACTACTATCTCAATTGTCTATACAAGTTGCATACTTAACATAGGCTCCTTTAATAAGTTCTCCTTCCCATACATTGTGTTATGACTGCTAAGTGTGTAAAGACAGAAAAGCTTAAGGATATTAGTATTAACAGTATTACCAATATTTATGATGGAAGACAAAATTGAAAGTAGCACAGATTTCTGCTCAAGTGCAGCAATCGCATCTCAAAGAAAGGCTAAAAAAAGTGTTCAAATTTATATCAGAAATGAAAGAAATAGGACCATACTGTATACTGCTACACAGTTCCCTGCCGGTGTGTGAATGTCTATTTTACACACAGTTGGTAATTAAAATTTTACTACACAAGTTTCTACAGATGTATTGACTTTCAGTCACTAAAATATGAGTATAAAATGGTTTGGTTTTACCATTAAGAAAACAAAATAAAACAAACAAAAAGGATCATCACATTCTAAGACTATATCAAAGATACTATGTCAAATATCATTACAGATTTCTATTTCTTCCTGATCAAATTGCTATTCTTTTATTGTTGACATAAATTATGGAATCAGAGAAACCAAAGCAGTTTTTAAAAACTGAGAGAGAGGCACAGAGAGAGAATAGGAAGATGAATGTATGCATCCATCTTCAAAAAAAGGGAAAGAAATCCATAAATGAAACAAAATACCACTTTCTAATGTAAGATGGAACTATGAGGCCTACAACAGAAATATATTTTTAGTATTTGTGAAATAAAACATAGCACTATTTTTGAAATATAAATGATATATAAATATAAATAAAATACAGCACAATAGAATGAAACCAGAAGAATATATCTCATAGAATGCAGAATTTATCAAAACTGTTATTCTATAAGTCTAAATCCAGATTTACCTTTCAATTTGTATCTAACGATAACATACTAGCTACAACTTCATGATTTTTTTAACTCATGAAAGTGAATTTTAAAAATTTATTTTCTTTCACATGTGAACAATTTGGTCACTACCTCTGGATGAAAAACTCGTCTCAATTTACAACAGTACATAAATAATTCAGTTAAAACTGAAAGCGGTACCAATCCAGCAAAATATTGATGGGGAGGTTTGGCCTTCTATGCAGCAAGAACAACATAAAGTTTTCAATGGGGATGACTTGTTCAGACAAGTTACAAAGATTCGAGTAAAAAAAAAACTACTTAGTTATGAAATAGCTAATATTTTCATGTTATGGAAAATAAATACCAGAAACGTATGTGGGCAAAGATATTACCAGTGGCATTTAAACTTCAAGCCTTTTAAGCTTTGAACTTTATATAGTCAAACATGAAACAAATATGTTACAAAAAAATACAAGTGTAAAACCCAACCAAAGGCCTCATGAACTAAAATTTGAAATTTGCTATGCAATTCAGACAAAATAAAAAATGGAGAAACTAAACACTTAGCATAAACACCAGTCAAGTCTTCCAACCCTAAAGTCAATATCCAAGCCACAGACAGAAGCAAAAAGAGAAACACTCCGGTCTACAACTGCATGAGCAGTTCCAACACAATTCACATCCCGACATTTTCCCCACTCAGAAACAAATGCAGGCAGCTTTTCCTGGGGAGAGAGAAGAAAGCTCTCGAAACGTAATTTTTTAAGTGACATCTAGAAAGTATGCCTCTTTCTGTCTCTTTCCCTGGCGCCTCATTGGAGGAAGGAGGGGGTTGTTTTTGTAGTCTCCCCCACTGAAGCAAGGCACAATCAGATGTTAGCTGGAGAAACCACTTTTGACAACAGCAAAGGAAAATAAAAGTGTCCTTCCTTCCCTGACAGGGTGGACACCCCACCTCACACACCCCTCCTCACTCCAGCCCCTCCTTCGCTCACCCCCCAGCACCACCCCCTCCTCACCCCGGAGCTCCACTGCGTATGAGGTTTGGTGCTCCTGCCGCCCGGAGTGAAAGTCAGAGCCAGAGGAAGGCAATGGAGCCCCCCCAGACGCACTTACCTTTCCTGCCCCCCACTTTTGAGTGCCTTCCCTGGAGCTGTGGAGGATGACACAAAGGGTAATAAAGGGGGGGAGTGGAGGAGGAGGAGGCAAGGGAGGAGGAGGAGAGCTGGGGAAGTGGCTGCTCCCAGTGTAGGGAGATGTCTCCAGCCAGGGCCAAGCAGCAGCAGCAGCAACAGCAGCAGCAGCAGCAGCAGCAGCAGCAACAGCAGCAGCAGCAACAGCAGCAGCAGCAACAGCAAAGGGTCTGTGTTGCTAAGAGGCTTTTGGTCTCTTTCTCTCCTCCTCTCACGGCCACAGAGAAGGAGGGTGGAAGGGGCTCAGGGAGCAGGCGAGTAGAGGGGCTGAGGGGGTAGGAGTCGTGGATGGGGGTTTTCTAAGAAGAAGAAACTCCTCTCCTCTCTCCGGCTCAATCCCCCACTCAGGGCTCGGAGCTGGAGGGTGGGGGAGGAACTCAGCCGCCTTCCCCCCACCCCCCTCAATTCAAGGTTGAAGTGGGGTAAAATGAGTGTCCTGTCCCTTTAAAAATAGAAATAAAAGGTGCCCCCCCTCTGCCACTGCCTCTCTCTTCATCATCAGCTGCTGCTGCTGCTGGGGTCTCTCTGCTTGGGGGGGAGGGGGGGCTCGGGTAGAAGAGACGGGAGGCACTCACTGCGCATGTCCCTTTCTGACGGGAGGCTGGTTGGTTGACGGCCGGAGGAGGGGGAGGGGAGGAAATGAGATGTTTTCCCAGAAGGCTCCAAGGCGCTGCCGACCCGGAAGACATTGTAGCAGGGGGTAGAGGGGCGGGGGCGGGAAGAGGGAGGAAGTTGCTACTCTTTAACACCCTCAGCCGCCTCCTCCCTCCTTAGGGAAAGCGGAGGGACGGAAGTAGGCGGGGCCCGAAGGGGCGGGAGGTCACGTGACGAGTCGGGGCGGGGCCGGGGAGGCGGTGGGAGCGCTGCGCATGCTGGGAGTGGCTGTGGGCGCTTGGCAGCGGCACGGGGAAAGCGGAGCCGGGCAGGAGGTGACCGTCCTGGGTCCTCACAGTTGGCAGCGGACGGCGTTGCCCCGGGGTAGGTAGGCTTTGCAGCGGGAGGTAATGCGGGTCCAGAGTCGGGGTCGGGTTGGCAGTGGCCGCAGGCTGGAGAAAGGAGCGAAGATGTCAGGCTGAGGGGGACTGGGAAAGAGGTAGGCTCGTGCAGGCCGGGAAGGCCCGGAGCCGACGGGCTGCTGCAGGCTCCCGGATCCCCGGCGGAGCCCGAGCGGGGCAGAGTGCTGCTGATCTGCTGAGACTCGGTGCAGAAGACTCGAGGGGGAAGTACATGATTGGTCCCGTGGAGAGGAAACCAGGGTTTCTGCAGGTGACCCACCACTTCACCCTTGCTTCAGAGCCTGGGACGCTTCTGGAAGAGCCAATCCGGATGTGTGAATTTGATTCAACTTCTAATTAGCCTTGCCGGGTCCGCATCCTGCATCCCCTCTTTTTCTGTCGTCCTAGGGATTTTTTAAGAAGCGGTAGGCAGCGAACGGGCAGGGGTGGTTTGAGTGAAGGCTCCCCGCATGCTCTACCCTAATGCTGCCACACAAAAGGCTGCAGGCTCTGAGGGAGGATGCCTGGGATTGTGGGGTCCCTCATACTGAGTTTTGTCCTTAAAGAAGAGACACCTCGAAATTTTCTTTCCTTGTAGCGTAGAAGAGAAAGCTTTTCATCTGGGTGTTTTTTTTTAAATAGTGAATTAACGGTTTCTTTTCTACCTCCACATTTTTTACAGTTAAAGTCGTTAGTTTTTCATTGCTTTTTGTAAAGATACTTTAAAGAGCCAAATCACTTAATGAGATTTTTTAAAAGAATCAAAGATCCTCGAATTAATTGTTAGTATCAATTTTAGTTCTGCTTAGTATGATTCACCGTCCACGTTATTTTATTTTACAAATTTTATTTGGTACAAGTCCATACAGTGGACCCTATTCATGTATCCATTACCCTGTGCTTACCTTTTCTTTGTGTCAGGGAGGTAATTATGTCAGATGGGCCCAAAACAAAACTCCAGTGCGCAAAACTTCTTTATTAGAAAGTCAGGTTTTTGTTTGTTTTTTCAAAACAAAGGTTCCCAGCTGTCCAACTAGCGCTTGTAGACCAGGCTGGCCTCAAACTCACCTGGAATTAAAGGTGTGCGCCACCACCACCTGGCCTTTTCAAGATTTATATATGTATTGTGTGTACAGTGCTCTGCCGCTACGAATGCCTGCACTTCAGAAGAGGGCACCAGACCTCATTCCGGTGTTGTGAGCTGGGAATTGAACTCTTTTAGAAAAATCACAGTTAGTCTTGATGGATATTAGACTTATGTTCGTTTTTTAACTACTTACAAACGATCTAGTTTAGAATATTTATGAATATCTGCATAAATGTTTTCTTATGCACATAGCTATCTATTTTTGTAGATTGTATAAGTCTGTCTTCAGTTTCACCAAATGTTAAAATGGATATGACATTTTATACTCCTGTCTCGGTGTGTGATAGGCTCTGACTTGTGCCATCTCACCAACGACTATATTTTAATTTTGCCAAACTGATGAATCTAGTTTTATAATTTGTAATGCTTTGATTACAGTTCTGTACTGAAGATATTTCTTTTTCAGAAACTTACTGACTGTTTGGATTTATTCTTTCAGAAGTTGTGGTTTGGTTTTTTGTTTTTTGCTTTTTGTTTGTTTGAGAAAGTCCTGACTGCCCTGGAGCCGCTCTGTAGACCAGGTTACCTTGAACTCACAGAGATCTGCCTGCCTCTGCCTCCTGAGTACTGGAATTAATCGTGTGGACCACCACCACTTGACTCCAGAAAATGGGTTTTTTTTTCATCTTTTGTAGCATTGTGGCAGATAGCTAATCTGTTCTTGGAGTATTACTTATCTTCTGGATAGTATGTTTAACAGTCTGGGTTTCTATGTTGTTATTGTTCCTTAAACTTTATTTTTGGCTTTATCTCCAGGAAACAAGTTTTCTTCTCGTGCTACTCAGTACATTTGTCATCAACTTCATGTGGCTTTTGAGCACTTGAAATGTATGTAAATAATAGAAATGAATAACAATTATTTTTATAGTGTTTATTAAATATATTAGAAAATATTAAACTACTTGGAATTTACACTTACGTTGGACAGCAGTGTTCTCAACTATGAATGTTGAGTTACTGTTTCTTCATCTTTGCCACTTCTGATTACTGTACTGCCTTTCTGACCATCCTATTGGTGTATCTTTTTCCTCTTACATCAGTATGGTCTCTAGAAGTTCCTTAATGCAGACAACCACCCACTTTTCTTACTCCTTTGCTTCTAAGCCCTTGTTCTGGTTCTGTTTTGAGGGGTTAAGGTTTATTGCAGCTCTCTGATTGTTTTTTTTACCACTTTGAAGATAATATTCTGTTGGTTTGTTTGTTTAAGGGGGAGAGTGACTTCTGTTGCTGTTTTCCAGCAATTCGCTCTCAATCTAATTCCAGGTACATTGAAAAAATTGTTTTATTTTTAAAAAATATTTTGTTTGGGATGATTTTTCTGCCATTTTATGATGATGAGGGGAGGTGGAATTCTTTGTATGCTTTAGAGAGTCCTTGTGGTTTCTGGTATTAATATATCATTGTCTTTGTAAAAACATAAATGAACTGTTTGTGATTACCTCCTGAAAATTGAAACCTTAACTTTCATTTCCATGTATTTATAGTTAATTTGTTGTCTTTTTAGTCCAGGTTCTAAATTTTTTTGAGTGTGTTTCTGCTGACTTGCAATGTTTCGTTATTTCTTGGGTATTTGTTCTAGCTGTGGCCTTTGGAAATTACATGAATATGCCGTAGAATAATCTTTTGTGCACTGTAAAGATATATCTTTACTAAGGAGCCTTCTGGTTGGTTTAATAAAGAGCTGAATGGCCAATAGATATGCAGGAGAGGATAAGCAGGATTTCCGGAGAGAGCGAGGAAGAGGAGATGAATCTAGGGGTGCCGGAACACCAGGGAGACTCTGAAGAAGTGTGATGTACAGTACAGAACAGAGGAACTCAAGCCACATGGCAGAATGTAGATTAATAGAAGCAGGTTAATTTGAGTTATATGAACTAGTTGGGGACAAGTCTAAGCTAAAGGGCAAACTTTCATAATTAAAAATAAGTCTCCAGGTCATTATTTGCAGGTTGGTGGTCCCAATGAAAAAGTACAACTACAGGAATATGTAAGGTACAAGATAATGGTATTTTTGAGACATCACACTTTGTGTTAAAGAGTCCAAGATTCCTAAGGTTATCAATTGTAAATGACTTTATTCATAGCCAGATCTTAGAATTTCCCGCTATATGTATAACATTTAGCAGGACTTAAAAATATGCCATTTTTCCTTACCCTAATTACGTTGCCCTTAATTTCTCAACTTAAGTTAGGAGATTGTCTGAGTAGTACCTTTGGTGGGCAGTGAGCTCTGATATTTTACCATAATCCAGCAGTATCAAATGAGTCAGCCTTTTTACCAGCCATATCTTTTGTATATGTCATCAGCATAGAAGTGACTGAATATGAAGCTCATCTCTGATTTACCTATTTTAGATTTGGGCATGTAGTTTCAGACTGCTTTATTTCTTTCAATGTCAGTGTATGCAAGTGAGAGTGTTTTGACCTCGCAAGATGATCTGTCCAGCCTACCTTTAACCGTAACTTTAAACCTCATGTATGCTGTTTGTTGTTTTATTATGTGCTAAAAGTTCTGGATTTTTCTGAGTGTGTGGGACAGATACGTTGACAAGTAGCATTTGCTTAGGACTAGACAACTGATACATAGAAATTACAGAGACATTGATAGCTATCCAAAAATAAGATATCAGTGAGAGTATGTTTACTGGTTTTCAGTTTTCCTTTTAGCATTCTTAAATATATATATCATTAAAAATAAGAAATTAGTTTGCATTGTTTTGTATATGTAAACAGATTGTATATTGTATATCACCTTTTTTCTCGTGCTGCCAAGATTCAACTTCATTGATACTTTAAACTGTCATATATTTCCATTACTAATGTCTCCTATATCATATGTAGTGAAGACATGTAAATGAAGACATGTAAATGATTGGAATAATTGTATTAAAAGGCTAAATCTACATCAGCCTTAATGGTAATTCCTAAAATTGAAAAACAATGTCATTTAAAGCTGTACAATTTAATACCAGAAGAATTAGCCAAAGTAACTGAAAACTGTTCTGAGACAGAAAATACAGGCTGTGACAACTATCTTACCCAACACCATAATCGTCCAATACTAAGAAAAGTGCCAAGTAAAGTCTCCCTGTAACAAAGAGTTTTGAGGCAGTTTTAAATATAAACCATGTAGAACATCATCTTTTGTTTGTCTATTTTGTTTTTTGTTGGTTTTGAGACAAGATATCCCTGTGTAGCCCCAGGCTGTTGTAGCATTCCCTGTGTTACATTGACTGGCCTTGAATCACCATGATTCTCTTAACCCAGATTCTAAAATACAGAATTAGAGCCTGGACTGCCACAAGAAGTAGTCATTTTTACTCTTGAAATCATTACCTTAGACAGGATATAAACTGCTTAAAATATTTTCTAGTCTTAATATCTTGTCTTCTTGTACCATAGAGGCAAATCTGGTTTCAGAATTAAACTAATGTGTAAGGTAAGTTAAACATGCAATTTTAAACAGGAGTAAGTTTCTACACCCCTGCTTGTCAACCCTGTCCAGCACTCTACTATTGACCTAGTTTCTAGTATGAACTCTTGCCTTAGTTTGTTATGTTAGTTACAGTTAATGAGCCAATGTTGAAACATCAGTGCAAGTCCAAAGTTGACAGTGGAATTGTCTGTGCATTACACATTCTGGGAGATGTCATATGGTATTACTAGTATGCTGTCATGGAGGAAGATACCTCTTGTGACTGCTGTCAGTGTTTCTATACTTTTGCCTATTTCATCATCTATCTAGTTCAACAGTCTGTAGCATTTCCCTCTTGACTTCTTTCTTAACTTAGGAGTAGCTTTCTAAAGTTTATTCCTGTCTTTTTTCATGGTTTCATAGCTTCTTTTTAGCACAGTAAAAAAATCATTGTAGGGCTATACAAGTTTATTTGTTATATTGAAAAACATGCTACTTCTAAGTTTTCATGGTTACTAGTAAAAATTCATTGTGGCTGTAAAGGAGTAAGTCACAAAACAAAACAATCCCACACCAATTTGGAATTATGATTAATAAAAGGGTTATTTATTTAAAGGGAAAAAACTTACAGATCACCGTCCTAGACAACAGCCTCCTGCACAACCAGGAAAAGCGTCTGGTAGCCGGAAGCGGAATCCGAAGCAAGCAAGAGAGAGAGCACGAGGGCTGCTGCAGCTTATTTTTAAAGCAAAAGATACCACACCCTAGTGGGCTGGTATCTCAAAGGCTATTGGCTGAAGGAGCAAAAGTATTTTGTCAGTAGTTGAGCTATGGGTAGTTCCTTGCCCAGAGGCCAGTTTTGCCAAGAAGAATACAAGCTCCAAGTGGAGTGTCTTTGGTGCTCAACTGTCTCTCTGGAATAGATGGGTGCTGCCAGGAGCGATTACGTCTCACCACCACAGAACTCTAAGTTAGCTTAAATGTCATTTTCTACAGCTCTTTGAAGAGGTTGAAGATTTATACAGAATATAACCTCTATATATCTAAAGAACCTGATTAGAATAACTATAAATATGACAGACATAGATGATTATTGATCTACAATTTCTAATACCTATCTAACTTAAAAACTAAGAGAATAAACAACTGCAATAAATGAGGACAATGACCTCCAAATGTAAACAATGTATATCATTACATAAGCAATATATAAGTATCTTAATCAGAGGTAGAAATGTACACTGCAATATGGTAAATATATATATCAATACAATATATATATCAATACATAGAAAATGTTTTAAACAGAGGTAGAAGCATGCATGCATACAATATTCAATATAATTTAGCTTTGTATCCATATACAAAAATCTATGCCAATGCAATTATGTATAAACAATAACTCACCAATCTATCATCCCATCATCCAGTTTCCCCCTTTTGTTAATGTATATATATATATATATATATACACACACACACACACCCCTGAGCATATAAAATTTCTCCCCAACCCTCAATCATATATTAATTATAATCAACCCCTTAATAATGTCCCTAAACCCAAGGACACAGCTATTTAGGCTGTAAATAATTTTAATTCAGGTATACCCAATGAGAGACTAGGCATCAATTTCAAGTAAAATACATATATCATGAGTGTCTTATTGCTGTTATAATATTCTAACAAAAGCACCCCAACTGAGCTTCAGGTTCTAGTCTATCATGACAAGAAAGTCATAGCAGCAGTAACTTCAAAAGTCAGGTTACATCCACACTTAGAAGCAAAGAGCAATAAATTAATAAAGCCCTGATGCTAGGGTCCTGCCTTCTTTTTACACTTACTACTATTGCGTGTTAAATAATACAAGCAGCATTATCATTAACTCAAAGACTTCCCAGCAATTAATGAAATTGTTATTTTAAATTTTCTAATGGCTGTGGAGTGATAGAAAACTTTTTGACTGTTAATTTCTTTAAGGATATGATATTGAACATCTCATGCTTTCTTGTCACCCTATTTGATGAGATGTGAGTTTAAGTCATTGGCATTTTTAAAATAGGTTGTTTTCATGATAGCATTTTAAGAGTTTTTTGTTTATTTTGATTCTGGTCAAGTAGGATCAAATATTTCCTCCCAATTGGAGTCTTTTTGTTTACATATTCAAACCATGCAATTTATAGAGCAGAACCTTTTAGTAAAGTCCACCTTAACATTGGGTTGGGGAAACTGAGTTAATTTCTTAACTTGAATGTTGTGGTTTTTCTCATATAGATCTTATCTTAATGAATTTGTACCTAGGAATGTGTGTGTGCGTGAACGCATGCACGCATAGGCACCCACACATGCATGCAAATGTAAATAGTATTGTTTTAATTTGGAAATTATGTTGTGTTATAGGAAAGTAATGGGAATTTTTAGATTTCTTACTTATAAACTTAACACAATAGGTGTTTGACAAAATCCATTTTCCCCCTTCATGTGTATGTCCTTGACTTTTCTTACCTTGCATTTTGTAAGGATTTTAATACCATTTGAATAAAAGCAGTGGAAACTTTTGCATTTTACATTAAAAATAAGTCTGCCAACTCTAGTTCTTTTTTTTATAAATAGTATTTACCATGTCAGGAAAAAAAACCCATCTTAGTTTGCTTCATTTTTTAAAATATCATGGATCAGTGTAATATTTTGTCAAATGTTTTTGTGCATCTGTTTATAAGATCATGATTATTTCCTTCTTTAACATTAGTGTGAGTTTCATTGGTGCTTTGCAAAAATTGGTATGTGTTTGACGAGTGATGATAAATAAATCTTTAGTAGATTTTATGCTAACTAGTTCAGAGTTAGACTCTGTTTACTGCTTGCTTAAGAAACAGGTCCAAAGCTAAAAGTTCCTCTTGGTTTTTAGTGTTGTTCCTATATTTTCTTAAAGTTTTGCTTGGCATTTCTTAAGATCTCTGTCAGGTATAAGAACCCATATAAATGTGTCAAGGTAGGGAAACATTCAATCCATTTTCTGCTTCTGCTCCATTAAATTTATATCCTCAGTGTCTGTCATTGCTTCTCAAATGTGGAAATAAACTGTTTACCTTGTTACCTCAGTATTTTTTGGATCTAGGAGTGCTTTTCAATTTGTTTAACATTTTCTTTGTTACCTTTTATTATTGAGATTATAATTTTATTAACAACGTTTCTTGCTTCCCTTCCTCCCTCTAAACCCTCCCATACACCCTTTCCTATTCTCTTTCAAATTCATGGCCTGCTTTTTTTTTTTTTTAGGAATTGTTATTGCTTAAATATATAGTCCTTCATATGGCCCGTTGAATCCATATTTAATGCTACTTGTATACATGTTTTCACAGTTGATCATTTGGCACTGGATGATCAGTTGATGTCCTCCTACCTGGGGAAGACCACTGTCTTCATTAGAGTTACTATTACTGTGATGAAACACCATGACCAAATGCTACTCTTATAAAAGAAAGCATTGGGAGCTTGCTTTCAGTTTCATAGGTTTAGTCGGTTATCATCATGGTGGCATGCATGGCTCTGGAGCAGAGCTAAGAGCTACATATTGGTCCACGGAGAGAGTGAGTGAGAAGCGGGGAGGGAGGGAGGGAGAGAGAGAGAGAGAGAGAGTGAGAGAGAAACTGAACCTTAATCTTGCACAGGCTTTTGAAACTTCAAAGCCCACCCCCAGTGATACATTTCTTTCAACCAGACAGTACCTACTTGAAGGCCATACCTATATGAGCCTATGGGAGCCATTCTTATTTAATCCACCACAACCACCTCTCCCACTCCCAACTTTGCCTATAGTTTTTGTATAGTGTTGAGACCTTGTGGGCCTTTCCCAGTCCAGTTTGGAATGTCCATTGGTATCTTTCATGTTTCAACTTATGTTTTGGCAGTCATGCTGGTGAGACTTTATGGGTATAGCTTCTAATTTTACTAGAAGACATAGTCCTACAGCAAACTTCCTGATCTTTTGGCTCTTAAAAACTACTCCCCTTCCCTCATTACAGAATGGTTATTGAGTCTTAGGTGCCTGGAATAATTTCTGTATATATCCATTAGAACTAGACTCCACGACCCTGTATTTTGATTGATTGTGGTTTTCTGTAGTGATCTTTCATCTTTTTCAAAAAGAAATTTCCTTATTGAGGTGTGAAGACTACACTTATCTTTGGGTATAAAAACAATTGTTTATAGATTTTTGTTAGGGATTATGCTGGTTTAGCAAATTAATGGTTGTAGATGCTTCTCTAATAACCACTATTACTAGTTCTGAGTAGTTACTAGGTTTCTAGTGCCAGGCATGGTATCCCATTTGTTGAGTGAGTCTTAATTCCACCAAAATATGTGTGCCACCATGCTGGTAACTGACGTGGTTCACAGGTGTCATAGCTGGGTAGGATTGTTGGTTGCTTCCCTCCTTTGGAAGCTTGTGTGGCGCGCTGTGGTACCATGAATGCTAGTCCTTGAGGAGAGGGTGTTCAGGTCAGTTCAAGCTCAGAGGTCTCTGGGCCCTATTTTTGAAGTGCATGCTATCTTCAATAAGGACTTACCTTCCACCTTGAGCATGTAGCAAAGGACAACAGCTTTGGCTGTATTTTGGGGGACTCTGTTAGGTAACTCTAGCCAGCTTTAAAAGAGGGCTTCTTATGTCTGCTTTTGGTATTTTATCTATGGCTTTTGGGAGTACTATCAGCTCAGATAAGAAACTCTAATCAAGACAGTGAAAGACTTCTGTAATTAAATCTTTAAGACACTGAATAAAGAAATTGAAGAAGACATCAGAAGATCTAAGGGTCTCCTATGCTCATGGATTCATGAGATTATAATTCTGAAAATTGCCATTCTACCAAAAGAAATCTACAAATTCAACAGTCTTCATTAAAATCCCAATACAATTCATCACAGAAATAGAAAAAAGTGTTCAGCCTCATATGGAAACATATACATACAAAAACAGGATAAGTACAATCCTGAATAATAGTTTTTTAAAAAAATGTTGGAGGTATCACCATCCCAGATTTCAAGTAAAAGAGTGTTGTATTGTCATGAAAACAGACACATTGATCAATGGATTCGAATTTAAGGCTCAGACACATTTGTAGACACAACTATGGGCACCTTATTTTATGACAAAAAAATAAAAATACAACTTTGGAGAAGGAGCAACATCTTCAACAAATGATGCTAGACAAACTTGATGGCTGAATATAGAAGAATGCAAATAGATCCATCCACATTTATCAACATGCACAAAACTCAACTCCAGATGAATCAAAGACCGCCCCCCCAGCATAAGACTTGACAACCATGGATCTAATAGAAGAAAGAGTGAGTGTAGGTCTTAACTCATTGGCACAGGGAAAAATTTTAACAGGATACCAGTAATAATAATAATTGGTATAATATTATACCAATAATATGTTTCCTTCATAGATAACTTGTTGGTTCTTATTCTTGCCTTCAGTATCCTCTCTGTTGTTTATTTAATGTTTTGACTATAATATGCCATAAGGACTTTTTTTCTAGTTTTACTTGTTCTGTAAGTTTCTTGCATCTTGTACTGTCTGGTTTCGTGTATCAACTTGACACAAGCTAGAGTCATCAGAAGGAACCTTGATTGAGGAAATGCCTCCATGAGATCCAGCTGTAAGGTATTTTCTTATTTACTGATCAGTGGGAGAGAGCCCAGCCCAAGGTGGGTAGTGCCATCCCTGGGCTGCTGGTCCTAGGTTCTATAAGAAAGTAGACTAAGCAAGTCATTGGAAGCAAGCCAGTATGCAGCTCCCCTTCATGACCTCTACATCAGAACCTGCCTCCAGGATCTTCCCTTGCTTAAATTATTGTCCTAACTTTTTTCAATGATGAACAGCAGGGCTAAAGTATAAACCTAATAAACACTTTCCTCCTCAGCTTTCTTTTCAGTCATGGCGTTTCATCACAATAATAGAAACCATAACTAAAACACACTATAACACACTCTGTGTGTGTGTGTGTGTGTTTATTTGTATGTATGTATCTTTCCTTAATTTGGGGAAAGTTTCTTCTGTATGCAGAGTTTCTATGTGCAGCTGCTTCTTAATCACATTGAGCCTTAATTATAAATGTTCAGCCAATAGCTCAGGCTTGTTACTAGCTAGCTCTTACAACTTAAGTCATTTCTAGTGCTCTGTGTGGCTTTTACCTCTAACCAATTTTGTATATCCAGCTTGTTATTCATATGGCTGGCAATTCCTCTGATTCTGCCCTTCATCATTCCATTATTCTCAGTTTGGCTTTCCCGCCTAACTTTATCCTATTCAGCTATTGACCTGTCAGCTTATTTATTAAACCAGTCATACCAACATATATTCACAGTGTACAGAAGGACTATTCCACAGTATTCTTCTATATATTTTTAAGTTCTGCTTTATTCCACTGGCTTTGAGTTCTTGTCTTCATCCATGTCTATAATTTAAGATTTAATCTTTTCCTGGTGTTCCACAGTTCTTTCATCTTGTCATCTTTGCTTGCATGGTCCAAGTCTTCTATTTCAAGATCTGATGTTCTTTGGGGTTTTTTGGTCAGTTCTATTCAGAAGATTTTCTCTTAGTTTTCTGTCTGGACTATTAAGGTTTTCAGTTCCATCTTAATTTAAGCTTGTGTTGTCCTCAATATGTATTGTGTTTTCTTGAACTAAGATGTTAACTCTTAGTATGTAGATTGTGTAGTTTTCCTAAGTAGAACAAGAAATGGAAGGTGTTCTGTAAAGAATGATTCCATTGGATGGTTGGATAGGAGAAACATTCTATATGAAAGAAAAAGTACTTGCTTGAATTGTATCTTTAGGGGGAAGGGAAGAATAATGATATGAAGAGAATCATATCAATTGTGAGAATACCATTTAAAGTACATGAGCAAATGGACATGTTTGTAGGTTTCTTGTTTGAAAATTTTAAGCATTTTTTAAATTTAAGAATTTATATCTGGTTCTATAAATGTAAGTTTTAAATAATCTTTTAAAGCACATAGTATTTATTCATCTTATTTTTAATGTTTTAGGATTTGAGTTGGTCAAAATGAGCAATCGTAAAACCAAGAGTAACAACGTAATACTTGCAGAATGTCTTTCAGAGGTTAGTATGTATGTTCCTTAATCTCAGATCCTTGCTAAAGATGATCCGAAAAATAGTCATCTTTTCCCCTGATTTTTTTCTTTTGCACTTTTTAGACTGCTTTAGAGGAGATACCTTTGTAAGTTCCTGAATGAGTAAAGACAAAGCTGTCCAAATTGGAAAATTGTATGTGAAATGATACACCATGTTTTTATTGTTAAAGTTCTTGAAGGTTTCTGAAGTATTTTTATTCTGTTGGATGCTGTTGTGTATGAAACTCTTTTCTTAATTTCATCTTTGTTTATGTCATTGTTTATAGAAATACTGATATATTGCAGAACTCATTAGATGCTATTTTTAAATTTATTTTGGAGTTTTATGTTCAACATTTTTTTCATTTTTACATGGGGCAAGTTTTATTTTCTCCTTTTCAGTTTGAATGTGCTTGCCTTAGAAAGTGTGGTGCTGAGGATATCACCAGGGCTTTGATCATGAAAGACACGTATTGTGCTGAGCTACATGCTTCTGATGGCAAAGGGAAAAAGAACATTCAGTCCTCACTGTACTTTGTTGATTCTTTTTACCAATAATTGAGTATTATACTAGATGCTAGGTGGTATCTTAATAGCACAGTGTATTTCAAGTACTAAAATGTGTAAATAAAAATGTTTACTATAAGAAGCCTATAATCCATGATAATTGTACTCTAGCATGTGTTTCAGTTGACTGTAGCTACATTTACTTTTAAAAATCAATTCTAAATTTTACATACTTAAAAAGACCATTTTTTTCTTACATATCTCTTTGTGTGTTATATGTGTGTATGTGAGGCAGTAATGGATGCTAAGTAACTTCCTCTGTCGTTCTCCATGGTACTACTGGGTCTCTTGTTGGACATAGAGATTGCCAGTTAGCTAGACTAATTGGCCACAAGCTCCAAATTCTCCTGCCTCCACTTTCCAGGTCTGAAGTTGCAGGCATGAGCTTGCTGTACCTGACTTTTTATGTGGATTTTAAGAATCTGAACTCAGGTCCCCATGCAAGCAGAGCAAAAAATTTCCCAACTGAGCCATCTACTCAATGTTTACCTCACTCTTTTTTACTTTTTTGTTTTGTTTTGTTTTTGGGACAGGGTTTCTCTGTAGCTTTTGGAGCTGTCCTGGAACTAGCTCTTGTAGACAGGCTGGCCTCGAACTTATAGAGATCCACCTGCCTCTGCCTCCTGAGTGCTGGGATTAAAGACATGTGCCACCGCTGCCCAACTATCACTCTTATTTTTTAAGGGAAATTGCTGCTTAAAAATAATTAGCTTTTTTGTATGTGAATAGTTCTTCCATGAATTGATTCTAAATACCTGTTTAACCTATGTTCTGATAACTTTGGAACTTTTGAACTCTGTAAGGTTTTAATAGGTTCATTTCCTTTTTTTCCTATTCCCTATTTTATGTTTATACATAGTTTCCTATCCAATAAATTTAAATAAGATTTTCCTTTATTTAAGGAAAGGGTTGAGATTTGTCTTTATTTCTAGTGATCTTAAGTACATAGTGGAATAGATAGAATTCATTGATTCTTTAAATGCCTGTGGTCTATTTTAGTGATTAACAGGTATCAACTATTATCTGTATAATCCATGTATTGTATTACAGATAACTATTTTAATCTTCAAAATAGGCTTTACACAAACGTGTTAATAATACCTTATTTAGATGTTTAGATCTAGAAAACATTTAATCATTTAATGGTAACTTTAATGACTTTGGCACCAATCCCATTGCTGTTTGTGCTTCATCTAAAATAATAACCATGTGAATCATTTCTTATACCCTTCTATACACGTAAAAAAATCGCATTTTATCTTTGATACTTTAAAATCTGACAGCTTAGTCTGAGAGAAATAATCCTATAGTCTTCTTAGTCGGCTACCTGAGTACTGTCCCTGAATGATTACTGTATTAACACCAGATCCAGGAAAAGAATAACTTTATAATGGCTTGGTTTTTAAAAGACTACTTGATTATTTTGACATGTTTTTCCCAATTAAATCTAAGACAATAATTCTAAACCAATTTGAAAACATGGCTACTTTTAACAGATTCTTTTCTAGCTCGCTCCAGCAATGTCTTACTTTTCTATTTCTTTTTTTTTTCCACTTTATTTATTTATTTTTGCAGTTATGGTGATAGAAACCAGAGTCTGGACATATATACTAAGCAGTTGGTTTATCATGGAACTACATCCATGGCCCTGATTGCTTACTTTATAGACCAGTGGAATCTCATTTCTTTCACATAATTAAATAATTGCTTAAAGTTGATGTAGTACTGTTTTATGGTTTCTAATTTGAATTTGTCATTTCTTTCTGCCTTTTTGGTAGGGTCTTTTTGAATCATATCGTTATAGTGTTTCTATGCTCAGAATCTAATGAGTATTTCAACTACATGAACCTTTAAGTTTAGTTTTCTGCAGAATCCTGACTTCAAGGCAGGTATAGATTGATAGTGATTACACTAAGCCATTTTAGATGTATTAGTCTCTAGAGAGACCATTGACTGTGTAGTTGCACTATTGGATTGTATTGCATTGTTAAATTTCTTCTAGTCTTTGATCTTTGAATGATATTTTATGCAAAGTAAAACACTTATTCACATACATTAGAACAGCCTTCAGATTGGTTATATGTTGAAATAATTCTCCCATTCATTGACATGATCACAACCAAATTCTCATTTTTTACCTGAGACTAGGTAAATGGAGAATCTAGTTATAACTCAAAAAAATGATGCCAAAGCAGTTAGTATTTATTCAGTTTCTGACTGCTATAAATAAGCTTTCTTTTTATTGTATGTGTAATATTTTAATTTTGTGCATCTTATGTTTTTCAGGTACAAAGAATCTTACGTGAAAGATTTTGTCATCAGAGCCCACATAGTAACCTATTTGGAGTCCAAGCACAATACAAGTAAGTCTAGATGTGCGCTCCTCTGTTACAAATATATTTACATTTGCTCTCCAAGTTTTGTAAGTCTTAGTAATGCACAGATCTTATCTTAGTGATGTTGAAGTTCTGTTTTCTATATAGAAAACACTGACCATTGTGAAACAAGAGCACATACAAGTATTTATATAATGCAATGGTCTCTTAGTGTTTCTTACATTTCTTTTCTGTCTGTTATCTGATAGTGAGAAAATTCAGACATTCTTGTCCTTAACTTCGCAGACAACTCAGGTGATGGTGACCAAAGTTATAGTTATCTCTAAGCCCAGGGAATCTAAAAATTAGCGTGATTGTCTTGTCTCCTCTACCACTATGGAGCCCAATATATTTCAGCCTTCCTGGGTTTCCTCTTCAGGTCTCTAGATATTCTCAACTGGGCTATGTTCTTTTCTCCGTATTCTTCTATATAGGAAAATTTAGATCCTTCACAGCATAGAAAGCCCAAAGGAGGGAAGTAATGTGCACCTTCCAATCTAGCTTTTTAAAGGTATGACACTGTAAATTATTATACCCTTATTTTTAAATTTTTGACCTTTTCATATCATTTTAGGCATTTAATTGAGCTACTCAAAAGAACTGCTATCAATGGAGAAAGTAACTCTGTACTCATTGTTGGACCACGAGGATCAGGAAAGACCATGGTAAAAAGATTTTCGGGTGTATCATTGCTTGAATAAACATTTGAAGTTTCTTACAGTACATGACATTGGAAATGTTTTTCATTTCATTATATTTCAACCTTCTGTGTTTTCTGTGTCTTTTAAATTGCAAAAGACATGCAGAGATCCTACAAATTTAGGATATGATATTGAAGTTGATCTTGCTTTTTTTAAAACTCATTATTGCTCACAATGACAAGTTTTTTTCTCAACATTGGTTCTGTCATTATCATTTGTCCTTTGTATTATACTAGAGACTACCAGTTGGCAAACATGATCATCTACTGCTCATAGAGTGTATGTGTGTATGTGTGTGTGTGTGTGTGTGTGTGTGTGTGTGTGTTTCCGTTTACTCTCCTTTTGTGGAAACCAGCAACTTACAATATGTGTAAAAATTTGCTAGTCCTTTTGAATAATGTTGTGATGACTGATAGCTTTAATATATTGCAAATGCAAATATGTTTTATTTCTAAAAATAGTTTACCAGTTATGTCTGTGTCTTTATTAAATAGTTTTCTGTCTTTGTTTAACTTGTCTATCTACTCTAGTTTACTTACATCTGTCTTCCTGGAGCATCTGTGTTTGGAATAGAAGAGATAGTCCTTATTCCTCATTTGAAAGATTTTTAAGTTTTCCTTAATTCATTTACAAATTTAATGGATATGCAGTGGTAATCACAACAGTTATATGTGGTGTTATGATAAAACACTACAAATGTTAGAAGAATATAACTATGTGACACACAGCCATTATCCAAAAAAATGTGAACCCTATAATTAAACATTTTGAGGCATTGTAATACCTTCTGAATATATTTCCATAGTAATTATAATTAGTAATCTTTTAATTGCAACCTTTTCCTTTAACTTTCCTATTATTTTGTGGTGGTAGTTTTTGTTTGTTTGGATTCATTTCTTGTGTGGTTTGTAAAACAGAATCTCATATAGCTCACATTGCAAATCTTGACCCTTCAGCTTCTTATTCTTATTAGTTTGTTTTGTCTCTTTAGTTAGCCATGAGCAAATATTTTAATTTTTTTCCTGTTTGATTAATTGCACTTCCTTGTTTCATTAAATGTGCAGAGTATTTAGCAATATTCCGTAGAATTGACATTGCAGGAAAAACTTTGAAACCATTTATGTTTATTTTTTTCTTTTCCTTTTAGATGCTTTCAGTGATACCTAGTAGAGAAAATGTAATATTAATAGTAAAATATGCTGAGCCATAAAGATCACCTAGGACAGGAGTTTAGTCTGTAATGTATAGAAAACTTGAGGGTTGCTTCCAAAGTTTATTAGTTTGCTAGATTGTTAAAATCTTATAGTATCTATTAGGCTCAGTGTTTTAAGACTTAGACATAATAAATAGGTCCTATATAGTTAAACGTTTTAGCTATAAAGTGATTTCTTTATATTTGACTCTTAGCATTCATGATTTAAAAAAACGATGGCTTCATTTCATCTTTTCCATATTAAATATTTTGCATATTTTATATTTAGTTAATAAATCATGCTTTGAAAGAACTCATGGAAATACAAGGAATGCGTGAGAATGTGTTACAAGTTCACCTAAATGGTGAGTATATCATCTTTTACCCATTAAGAAATGATGCAAGGGGCTGGTGAGATGACTTAGTGGTTAAGAGCTCTGGCTGCTCTTCCAGGGGACCCGAATTCAATTCCCAGCACCCACATGGGAACTCATAACTATGTAACTCCAGTTCTACAGGATCCAACACCTCACATCAATGCATATAAAATAAAGTTAAATAAATTATTTTTTAAAAAAGAAATGATGCAAACTACATAGGTTTGCATATTATGAAAATTTATTCGTGTTTTAAATCTGTTAAAATATATTTTGAAAACTGTATGAAAGTGTAAGGACCTGTAGAAATTGGAAAGGTTATTAGAACTTTTTTTAAAGTAGTTTTTTCTTAAACAGTACTGTCTCAAAAGAATTGTTGTGTGCCATTTTTTTAGAGGAAGTAATATAAACTAGCAGGCTGATTTTTTTTCTTTCTACTTAAATTTAAAAAGCACTAGAAAATATACTTAACTGGAAAATAATCCATGTCAAATACTTGCATCATTTTAATTGTACTTTAATTGTGTTATATTTCAGGACTGCTGCAGATAAATGAAAAAATTGCTCTGAAGGAGATCACAAGGCAATTAAATCTAGAAAATGTAGTTGGAGATAAAGTTTTTGTAAGTATCATTTCAGATATTTTATTTCTGGAAAGTTAGGAGAAACATATTAGACAGTTATTATATATATTAGGATTTGATGTAATATTTTTGTCGTTAAAAGATGTATGTGTGAGGATATATTTAGTTCTCAAGCATTTATTTCAGAGATTGTCATAAATTTTTATAATTATTCACTGAAGTAAAAGTGTTTTTAAATCAACACTTGTAAATTAGCATGGGCAGAGTGGATAGATACATGCTGAGTTTAAAGCTGGCATAGTGGGTTGGTTGACACGTTTGTTGTGATTCACTGGTGATATCAGGCTTTAGGCTATTGAATGTCTCTCAATTTCAGATTCTTGTCTTTATTTTGTGTATTTCACAAGATTATTCTAAACAAGGGAGAAAGCATTAAATTTCCACCTGATTAAAAATATTGGATGGTAGACTGGGTGACTTGTGTCATGCGCCTTTAATCCCAGCATTCCGGAGGCAGTACAAGTAGATTTCTGTGAGTTCAAGGTCAGCCTGGTCTACAGAACAAGTTCCAAGACAGCCAAGGCTACACAGAGAAAACCTGTCTCAAAAAAAACTGGATCGTTGTGTTGTATATCTGTTTTTTCATATCCATAACTTAGAGTGTAGTCTTGTAGTCTCAAGACACTGATAGTGCTTCAGACTGATTTGAAGTATTCAGATTTCTCATTAAACTGTTTCCCTGTTTGACTAACTTACTTGGCCTAAGAAAAACAAGAGTCATCCCAGTCTTAATCTGAGTTTGGTTTCAGTACCCATATTTTATGGTTGACCGCTGTCTCTGACTCTAAATCAGGAAACCAGCCTTCTAGCCTTTGTGCTATACCTCATGTGCACATACCTACATGCAGACAGACACACCTACCCATAATTAAAAACAAATTCTTACAAAAAGATTTGAAATATATAAATAAAATTCAAATTGATAACTTTAATAAAAAATAAATTAAGGGAGTTTCTGCTCCAATTCTGGAACATCTAGATAATTTATCCATTATTCTCGATTTCTTCTAGACTTTTTAAATTATGTCCAAGAATATTTTAGATTGTTCCAAATATATAACAGATAAATTTGAAGTAAAAAACACATTTGTAATGGATATTCTTGATCAGAAAAACTGTATGATATTTTAAGCAAATTTTATCTGTTTTGGGATCTGATTTTAATTTATACTAAGTTTTTTGGTTGTACAATTTGAGAGTAGTGATAAAATGGAATGCATTTCTCGTCCCTAATATATTTAGAATCTAGCAACTGTCCAGGAACTGTACTCTTTCTAACATTTCTACCAGGACTGCCCAGAAAATAGGAAACTTTACTTATGAGATAGGTAGATTTCACATTTTCAGAGCTTTACTTTTGTTTTTAAGTTATGTATAATTAATGCAGAGATACTCAAATAAGAATCTATCAGTGGCTAATTTCCTAGTGAAAGCATGCATTATTTTTTTGTAAATATCCTTAAGATTTGGCCGTCTTCATTTTATTAAAATTTAGTCTTTCTATTTTTGTTATTCAGGGAAGCTTTGCTGAAAACCTTTCATTTCTTCTGGAAGCTTTAAAAAAAGGTACATATAAAAGATATTTGTAAAGCATTGAATTTCAGAAATATCAAAAGATACTAATTTTTAACTTTAGTCTCCTCTGATATAAATATTAACAGTTTTTAACCCCTCCCTCCCAAAATAAGAATAGAGAAATTAAACTAATAAGCTAATGTCCACTGTAATACTTCGCTGTAATGATCCTTAGTGTTTGCTTTTTTCTTTTATTCAGGTGACACATATGATTGTTGTATGTGTAAATGAAGGTTTTTTATAAGGATAAAATTGGTACCAATGAGATGGCTTAACAAGTAACAGTGCTTCCCACACAAGCCTGATAGCCTGCGTTTGCTCCGGGAACCAAAGATGTACAGAAAAAACTGACTTCTTAAGATTGTCCTCTGACTTCCATACACTAACCATAACACACCAGAGCCTTCACGCAGAGATATCATCCTGACACACTAATAATAAAATTTAAAGACTAAAATTATTCACCTATAATCATAACACTTGGGAGATAAAATAGGAAGAATATGTGCTCAAGGACAGTATGAATGAGACCATGTCTCTGACAAGCAAGAATACAATCATTTTGCCTGTTATTTGGTAATTATGGTTGTCTTACATTCTGTTATATAAAGATACTATAAATGATTATCCATGTGTCTTTGTCTGGATAGGTTATAATGGGTAGAAATTTAGATTAAAAGATGCCATGTTGTAAAGAATATTGCTTACCTGTCTTTGAAATATGTTTAAAAATATTTTTTCTTTCCTGAGTTCAAAAAGTTACTAATTTTCATATTTAGGTAGCTTATAAAAACTAACCAATGTCAGTTTCATTTCTATGATTTTGGTTTTTATAATTTGCATTCCCTGGTATGTGATGATGACTATTCATTTGATGTTTTGACTGACCGTTGTGTTTCCTGTTGATGCCTCGCCCCATTTTCTCTCATACCTATTTATAGAACTTTGTACGCTTTGTTGTCTTAAATTTGTACTTGTTGACTGAATAGAAGTTTTAATTTTCTGCATGACTATTTTATCTAGAAGATATCTTTATCTCCTTCAAATTTTAAAAACGTTCATCAATATTTCCTTTTAATACACATATTTCTAATTGATAATTTGGTTGAGTTTCTTTTTCTAAAGACAGTAGCTCATGTATCCCAGGCTGTCCTTGAGTGCACTTCATAGCTGAGATTGATTCTTAAACTCTTTATCCTCCAGCATTAATGACTTATGCCAGTAAGGACACAGATTTATTTTTATATACAGTGATTTGACTTTGAATCACTTTTCCCTATACTGAACCGTTTTCCCTATACTGAAATACTGGCCGTATTTTACAAATACTTTTTTCTGTACTATTTCCTAATTCTGCTAGGCTTTAGTAGTTTGATTTTTGTTTTCTTGCCAAAATTAAACCATTTAAGCTCAGGTTATTTTATTACCTGGATAAATAAATCTTATCTTAATCTTTGCCTTAAAAGTTTTACATAAATGTAAATTATTCCTAAAGTTACAATGATTTTTTGCTAAAGTAGTTTCTATTCATAGAGAGAAAATCTATTCAGTGTTACTGAACATTACCTGATTGAAGTATTAAAACTTATAGTTAAAGAAATTTTTTTTATTGCACCACATATTCTAATTGGGTGTTTGTAGAGAAAACTTTAAATAAGGAGGTACATTTTGCATTTCTCTATTAGATAAATATGTCTTTCTTGAAATAGTAGTTTTTATTCATTATTGACTACTTTTATATTTGGGAAGTGTTTTGATGGTATTGAAAAGTTATCTTTGTAATTATTAAGGAACTACACTTATATAATTATAAAGCTGTTTTACAAATGACTTTCTCAGTTTTTTTCATCAAACTCCTGTAACTAGATGGAAACTAGTTTAGAACAAAAATTGCTGTATTTGTCCTGTGGATAACTTTTCATGCATGAGTGAACTTGCATTTGTAAATGCCCTGCCCAGAGTTACTTATTAGTTTGTGTTGAGGTGAATTATAAATTCAAGCATAGCAGTTTGGGAATAAAAAATTATTTGATGTATTTTCTTACTAATTTGAAACTCATTTTTTCTTAGGTGACAGGGCTAGCAGTTGCCCAGTGATCTTCATCCTGGATGAATTTGATCTTTTTGCTCATCAGAAAAACCAGACACTCCTTTATAATCTTTTTGACATTTCTCAATCTGCACAGACGCCAGTAGCAGTTATTGGTCTTACATGTAGATTGGTAAGTCTTTCTATTTAAAAAAAAAAAAAAAAGAAGAAGAAGAAGAAGGCAAATTTTTTAGATTTAGAAAATGCAAACTTAATTACTGGCATAATCCATTTGACTTAAAGTAAGTTTTAGGGTATTTTGAAAATTATCTTTCTTCAATTCTTTATACCTTGGTCTTGCTTTCCACTTGTGGAAAACAAGAAAAGAGTTGCCACCTATATTATAAGTTGTTTTTTAGTCCTCCCAATGAAATCATGGAATAAAACCTACAAATACTAATTAGTGAAATTTCTACTGTATTGAGTAAAGAAACAGTTAAGTAATACCAGTAGTATTTTATAAAGATTGTTAGTTTTTATTTTATTATACAAGATTATTTCCATAATTTGAATATATCTCCAGGAATTCTATCCATCTTTAATGTCAGTAGAATGATTCTTTGTTTGGGGTTGGTTTTAGAATGATCTCACCTAAAGTATTCTAAGTATTTAAAATTTCAGACAGCTATATTTTTCTTTTGTGCTTAGCCTTCCCCTTCCCCCCAACCCTGTCCTGAGAACCCAAACCTAGGACCTTATACATAGTAGATAAACACTCTTAGCACTGAATTTATTTACTGTTTTGATAGATAATCTCACTCGTGGGTTTCTTATATTGTCCATGAACTCATTATGAATCTTAGGCAGATCTTGAACTTATTTATGATCCTCTTGAGTGGCACAAGTTACCAGATTATTCTAGAGGGGCTATTTGTGTCTTCGGTGGTTGCTCTTGTATCCATGTAAAGCCATGTGAGGATCACCTTTTCTCTAACTTACTATAACTTCCGTGTCTCTGCAGATTTCTTCATGCTCCCCTCCACCCATCTCCTTTCTTCTTAAGCTTAAGTCAGGCTGGCTCATTTACTTATTTTTGTTTCCTACTGCTCTGTCTTTTTCATAAAACTTATTTTTTTCAATTAATTAATATTTCAATAGTCCTAGTTTTCTACATAAATTTTCTATTGTTTTTATTGCTTTTCTGTGAAATGTCTGTGTTTGACTCCTCATACCTACTATACTTTGTATGCTTTCAGATCATTTTTCCAACATAGAAGAACTGACTGATAGTTTGTCTTCATCCTTGATACTCTGTTTATCCCCACCTTCAAACCAGAAACTATCACTAGGCTAAAAGAAATACCTTCTTGCTTTAAAGAAAGGGACAGGGAAGTGGGGCTGGGCAGAGGACTTAGTGGTTATATCACCTGCTGGGTAAGTGTGAGGAACAATGTTCGAACACCCAGAACCCACGTATATATTCCTGATGGGTAGGGTGTGGCAGTCCACCTGCAGTTATAGAAGAACTGAAGGCATACAAAGTATCTTTGGAGCAAGCTACCTGACCAGAGTAGCCTAACTGATGGACTTCTGGGTTCAATTGAACAAGAAAGATGGAAAGCCAAGATGAATTCTCTTGACATCAAGCTCAGGCCTCTACACATATATACACAAGCACATGTATGCAAAACATAAAATGTACACGTATGAAAAAAAATTATGTGAAAGTAGGAATGATTTTCTCCATAAGCATGAAGATTTAAGTTCAGTCGCTACACCCATATAAAAAGCCAGATGTGATGTTGGGCCACTGTAATCCATTCCTGCAGAGGTGGAGACAGAAGAATCCCTGTGCCTTGTTAACCAGCCAGTCTAAACAGGCGAGCCTCAAGTTCACTGAGAAAGTCTCACCTTTTTTATTTTTTTAATATTTGTGTATGTGTATATGATAAGTTAATACATATGGATATGCATGTGGCGGTCAGAAGATAACTTTCAGGAGTCCATTTTCTCCTACCATGTGAGTCCTGGGGATCAAACTCTGGTTTTCACTCTTGGTGGTGAGTTCCTTTATACACTGAGCCAGACCACTGTCCCAAAGGAACCCTGTCTTAAAAACTAAAGTGGAGAATAGTGAAGAAGACACTCAGTTTTAACCTTTGGCCTCCACATACAAACATTCATGACTACCTTAGGCCTTCAGTGTGATTTTGATTCTTGTTTCTGCATTATTTCTCTAATTCTGTGTTTCTTTTGTGTAGAATTGTGCTCCTGTATATTTACAGGAAGAAAACCAAAGCATAGGTGTAAACAGTTGCTTTTTCAGCAAGAAACCCTTCTTTGTGGATATCATTCCTTTAGACTTTGTTGTTGCTTTCTCTTCCCTTCTGTCATTACTGACCACCAAAGCAGCTTCTGTTTTCACTCCTTCCATTCTCCGATGCAAGATTTTTTTATTTCTTGCAATTCCTTCTTTGGGGGTGAAGTGTGCGTGCATAGCAGACATGTGAAGGTCAGACGACTTGTAGAAGTTGATTCTCCCCTAGTATATGGGTTCCGGGAACTGAACACAAGTCTTCAACCTTAGCAATAGGGGCCTTATTACTCTGAGCCAACTCCCAAGTAGTGTCTTAATCTTTGCAGAGAATATTATTTTCATTGCCTTTCTGCTACTTATGCAAATAACTTTTTTATTTCTCCTTAGTAGAAAGCTAGTATGAGTATAATTTGTATTTTTGAATATTGCCTGTATTAATTCAGCTGTTGTCACTATAAAACTATTAAAAAACATTCCAACTATTTTTATTTCCTGCCTTGAACCCAGACAGCTAATAGTCATTGCTCTTTGCTTCTTAAATGACCCATAATTATTTAAAATTTTTCTATGTATCACAGCTTACTTTTTGTTTGTTTTCTGTTACAAAGATCATTTGGTTTTAAAAAATGCACATTTTCTGGAGCTACTGTCTTTTTTTTAAAAGCAAAAAATTCATTGTAGAAAATACCAATACTTGTTGGAGATAATGGTATAATGAGTCCTGACTCTTCCACGCTTATGCGTTGATTGTATAATTTTAATAATTATCACAACATAGCTTAATCTATCCTCATCTCTTCTCTCTCTGTAAAATATTGAGGCAAAAAATAATGTCATTTTGTAATTAATTACTTAGTTAATTTTAAGTAGATGCGAACTTTTCAAACTATTTCTATCAAATAATTACACCTTAAAAATACTAATTGCATGAAGAATGGCTCAGCCATTAAGAGAACTTGCTGCTATTAGAAAGAGTGAGAGTTCATGTTCCAACACTGGTTCTTTCCAGCTGAATTCTAGTAGCTCAGCAAATAGAGCTTTGCTCTGTTACTTATCTTGTTTCTTGAAACTCTTGGTTTTTCGAGACAGGGTTTCTCTGTGGATCTCTGGCTATCCTGGAACTTATTAGGTAGATCATGAGTGCTAGAATTAAAGGAATGCACTACCACCACCCAGCTTCTTGAGACTCTTAAAATTATGAATCATGAATATCTCTGGATTTTTGTTACCTTAGATTTTTATGAGAACTTTTATGGTGTGCAGATTACCGCACTGATGTGCTTGTGTTCCTGTCAGTCTGGGTTCAGGAGTAGTCATTGAGTGTCCTTAGTAAACTTGGGGATGTTAGCACGTAATATCAGGGCCGGAGGCCAAGTTACTGGTACCTAGAAAGGAATTATTTAGTTCAACGGTTCTCAACTTGTTGGTCGCAACCCCTTTAGGGATCATACGACCACAGGGGTTGCCTAAGACCATCCTAGATATCAGATATTTACATTACAATTCATAACAGTAGCAAAATTACAGCTATAAAGTAGCAACAAAAATAATTTTATGGTTCAGGGTCACCATATGAAGTAATATATTAAAAGTTTGAAGCATTAGGAAGGTTGAGAACCACTGATTTAGTTCCCCACAAATTTAAATGCTTATTTATAGATTGTAAATAAATGTTACTGTTTGCTTATTCTCTGACCGTGTATTTTGAACATGCTTCTTACATGGATGTCTTTTTGTTTTCAAAGGATATTTTGGAACTCTTGGAGAAAAGAGTGAAGTCGCGGTTTTCTCACCGGCAGATACATTTAATGAATTCATTTGGTTTTCCACAGTATGTGAAAATATTTAAAGAACAGTTATCTCTGCCTGCAGAATTTCCAGATAAAGTTTTTGCTGAGAGGTGGAATGAGAATACTCAGGTAAGTTGAAGGCAATAATGACAAAAAAAATGTGTGTCTTTTCATGTTAATAGAGGAACGAAATTTTAAACTTTTTTCTTACTTAAGGGCAATAGACATAACTTGTGTCCTGAATTATATCTTTTCAGAAGAACTTCAAGTTAAGCTTTAGCACTCTTCTGTAGCTGAAATTTTTAATCTATATTTGGTTTACATTTTAGGTAATTTTTTTAGTGAATTTACATAGTGTAGATTTTATTTTATATATTTTGCAAATTTGACAAGAGACTGTATTGAAAGTTCACTCTTACCCTACACATGTGTTTTTTATTCCAGTTCTCATAGATAACTTCAGCTTTGTTTCATTAGTTTATTACAACACAATACAGGCTGTGGCACCTCTTATGAGTATACTGGGCAACCAGACTACCACTACACTATATTCTGGCCCTACTTTGTACCATTTCAAACCTTACTTGTAAGGTTTATCTTAATTTTGTTGTGATTCATACTTCACCACTTATAGTAATTATTGGTGTAACAAAATATATAATAAAATAAATTTAAGGTAGGAAGGATTTATTTTGAGAGTATGTAGTTGAGTTTGAGTTTGAGGATATAGTGGTGGGAAAGACATGAAGACCAGAGCTTTTGGTTTTTGGTAGATAGTCAACAGCATCTGCAATTAGAAAACAGAGTAATGAATGTTCCTGTTCAAATCTCAATCTCTCTCTCTTTCTCTTTCTCTCCTTCTCCTTCTCTCTCTCCCTCTCCCGTTTTCAATCCACGACCCCAACCCAGGGGAATGGTGATTGAGATGTGTGTTGTCTTAGTCAGTGTTCTATTGATACGAGGAGACACCATGACAAAGACAACTCATAAAAGAAGACATTTAATTAGGTTCTGGCTTACCATCTCAGAGGCTTATACCATTGTCATTATTACACTGACTGTGACATTGGACAGGCATGGTACTGGATGAGTATCTGAGTGATACTCCTGATCCACAAGCAGAGAGGGAGACTGGACCTGGAATGGACTTTTGAAACCTCTAAGCCCATTCCAATGACATACTTCCTCCCACAAGGCCTTGCCTCCTAATCCTTTTAATACTTCAAACAGTTTCATTCCTTGGTGACTAAATATGTGAGCCTACAGCAGCCATTCTTATTCAAAGCACCACACATGTCCAACCTCAATAAACTAATATAGATAATACTTTACAGGCATGCTCAAATATTGACAGAGGTTTCTGTCCCACCCAGTTCCACAGCCTGAACAGTGCCAAAGAAACACACAGAGGCCTACATTAATTATAAACTGATTGGCCTATTAACTCAGGCTTCTTATTAATTAACTCTTACATCTTACATTAACCCATAACTCTTGTCTGTGTTAGCCACATGGCTTGGTACCTTTCATTAGTGAGGAAGTCTCATCTTGCTTCCTCCGCATCTGAGTGACAACTGCAGATTAAGCCTTTCATCTTCCCAGAATTTTCCTATTCTGGTCACCCTGCCTATACTTCCTGCCTGGCTACTGGCCAATCAACATTTTATTAAACCAATATGAGTGACGAATATTTACAGGGTACAAGACCATTGCACTCAAAGGCCAACCTAACCTAGATAATCTCCCATTAGTAAGTTGACAGTCAATATTGACCATCATACATATTGTATGTATACAACACACTTTAAATTAAGGTGATTAATATCTTAATTTTACAAATACTTAGTTTTGGATCTTCCCTTCCACCAGACTAATCTTACATGGGACTAGGCAAGTTTTTTCTGATGCTATGTCTGATTTAAGATCTCTTTCTAAAGGAAGATGTTCTTTGTCATTGGTAATCTACATTATTCCTTTTCTTACTGCGTTCTGGATTTTAACATCTGACCATTTTCTTTACTTCTCACTGCCTCACAGGCATTCCCCTTATATAGCTCTTGAGCTAATAGTCTTATTCCATCATGTTTTTGAGAGATTTTAATGCAGTTATTCATATTTAAATATCTTATTTTCCAGGGATTTTGTATTTTCATGCCTTTTTACTTCCTCTTCCTAAGGTGGCGCCATTGTCTACCTAACTATGTTGCATTGTGGGTATCCATCACTGTATGGTTTTAAAGCCATGGGCTCTACATCTTGAGATATAGCCACAAATGAAAATTAAACAGAAAACAATGGCATTTATACTGAACATATATAGGCTTTATTTGTTATTCCCTTAACAGTGCAGTATAATAATGGCCTAGTTCTGTTGCTATAATAAAATGTTCTGATTAAAAGCAACTTGAGATATGGCTTACAGGTTAGAGTCCATCATTGGGAAGCCAAGACAGGAACAAGAAGGCAGGAGGTGAAACAGAGGCCATGAAAGAACGCTGCTTACTAGCTTGTACAGTTTGCTTTCTTAGACATCTCAGAGCTACCTGCCCAGGCATGGCTCAGCCACATTGAGCTAAGCCCTCTCACTTCAATCATTAATCAAGAAAACACCCTCCAGACGTGCTGACAGACCAGTTTGAAATGACTCTAATTTGTGTCTAGTTGGCAAAAAAACTAACCTCTACACACACACACACACACACACACACAAAGCTATTTACATAGCATTTACATTGTGTTGTGCAGTACAGTATAAGTAATCCAGAGATATACAGAAATGTGCATTGGTGGTTACATACCCAAACTAATGACCTTTTCATATCAGAGAATAGGATTTCCCCGTATTTTGTTTGTCTAAGGTATTTCCTTGACTCAGTCTTCTACAGACACAGTAATGAATATAATTAGAGAATGATAGGAGTTTCTGGTGAAGCACTAGTCTAGATGATTTAAAAAGTGCATACAATTTGATGACAGGATGACTCACCTCTAGTGTTTATCAGGTAAAGGTGAAGTCACATGCAGTTTAGGTAGACACTTATTTAACAAAGTAAAGCAAAGGGTATTCCAGTACAGAGAGAGACTCAAACAGAAAAATGAGGTGGTAACTCATTGAGTCCTTTCCAATTTTGTGAATATTTATGGATGGTATGATCATGAGGTAGAGCTACTCTCTTCCTCCTGGGATCTCCCTTTTAGGTTATTTCCTATGATCCTTTTGAAACAGCCAGACACCAGACTCTATTGAGGATGCAAGCTTGTAAGTAGCATGTGAAAGTTCCCTGGCACCTTAGTTTCTGATAAGAACAAATTTCTCACTTGAAGAATGTTTAAACAGCCACAGAGAGGCATTTGTCCATTGGGAAACACATTTATCAAGACGATCTACAGTTTCCTTCATTTCCTCATGGCAAGTTGCATCCAAGCAGGATACCAACCCCTTAGGTACAGCTGAAGTTTTCCTTCTTACCCTCAGGCGTGACTGCCTGAAGCTCTCAGCTTTCTAGTTTGTTTTATTTTGTTGTTTTGTTTTCAGACTTTATTGCCCCCAATTAAACTTAAGTGGCACATGGTAGGTGATGATCTCTTTTCTTGTGACAGGCTTACAGCTTTAGTGTTTAAAGAAGAACTGGCACTGTTAGGGCTTGCTGCTTAGTTTCATCACCTTGTGCTGCCTCCTTGACTTGGAAATGTGTCAGCACCATGGCCAGAGTCCCCTTCTTCAGGGTTGTGGTAAAGGTGGTTTGGGAGCTAGCCACTACTTCAGTGCTGACATTGCAGCTAGTTATTTGTTTAAGATACACCTGTAGTTCTTACATGCTTTTTTTAAACACTAGGAAGTGAATATTTAACAAGAAAAATACATCTATTGAGAGCATGAAATTTCAAGAGAGAATCAAAAGTTTATTCCTGAAATTTAGATATTTTTGAGGTGAAAGAAGAAACATCTCTAGAAGAGATATAAACATTTAGTTTATCTGTGGCTTTCGTTATTGTTTGGGGAGTTCAGTATTTATATTTGGGATTTTTTTTTTTAGAGATCTTCAGTAATTTTTTTTGCAGTGTCATGTAGTGTTTTTTGGTAATATTTTCTTGTTTTTAATAACACACTGTGTCATATTTTGCTGTCCATATATCCTTGTTTGTAGGGCCATCTGCTGGAGACTGGCCAACCTGCTAGGAACAAATGATTCTATCTCTCCTAGAACCTGTCAGCTGCCCTAGCTTCTCAACCCAGAGCTGGGGCTCATGAACCTCTTCCCATCCTGTGCTAGAATGCTAACTACCTTGATTTTGTCAAGATAACCTCAGCTTCCATGAGTTTATGTGTTGTGAGAACCTGCTTGTTTGTCCCCAGCTGCTCTGCTCCAAAATAACCACACAGAAACTGTATTATTTAAATCATTGCTTGGCCCATTAGCTCTAGCTTCTTATTGGCTAACTCTTACATCTTATTTTAACCCATGTCCATTAATCTGTGCATCACCACGAGGCCGTGGCCTACCAGCAAAGATTCAGCACATCTGTCTGCAGCAGTGGCTCCATGGCTTCTCCCCTGACTCTGCCTTCCATCTCCCAGCATTCAGTTTAGTTTTTCCTGCCTAGCTCTTTTCTACCCTATCAGGCCAAACCAGTTTCTTTATTAACCAATGGCATTCATAGCATACAGAGGGGAATCCCACATCATTCATGAATACAGAAGTTCTGTTCTGGTCCTCTCTTGTCCCCTGGCTCTTAGAATCTTTTCATGCCTTTTTCTAAGATGTCTCTGAACTTTGGAGGAATTGTCATATATAGATGTTCTATTTCTGGCTGAACATCGGCCATTCACTTAGCATCTGCATTGTGGCCAGTTGTGTGTTTCTCCATTAACCACCATCTGCTACACAAACTTTTCTGATGAGGTCTGAGTGCTATACTAATTACCAGAGAGGAATTTAGAGGGTATAGTGTCCATACAGCAGAATAGTAGAAATAGAACTCCCTAACCATAGGTACTTGGCTGTATTTACAACTATGCGTGTGCCTCTTAGTCTGTAATATTTGTGCCCCTACGGCTCCCATGGTCACAGCTTGCTATTTTGGTCATTATTTTGTCACCGTTTCTGTTTTTACTTGTTTAAGGAAAAGGAACCTTTATACCAAGCAAATTACTTGTGAAAAATTATGCCAAGTGTTGCTGCATCTATCCTTGCTCTGTCACTTTGAGCTTACTTCTTTTCATCTAATGTTTTATTCAGCGCTGTTTCCTTACCTTCCTTTGAATCCCAGTTCTCTAGAATTATTTCTTTTATAATCTTGCATGAGCAAAGACCCTAATTGACCTCCATATTTCTACATACATTGGCATCTTATAATGTACCTCAGTTTAGTTTTACAAAGTAGTTTGTATCGAATTGTTGATTATTACTTCCCTCCTGAAGTTTCTTCCCTTGTGTGATAGTTAATCTTCATGTCACCATGGAAATACACTTCAGGTTTAGATTACCATGGAAACGCATTCTATGTGTATCTATGAGGGAGTTTCCAGAAAAATTTTAACTACAAAGGGAAGACCAATTGTGAATGTGGGTGCTACCATTCCATGTGCTATCGTCACATATGAAATGGAAAGGAGAAAGAAAGGGAACATGAGCTAAGAAACAGCATTCATCATCACCTCCTCCTTCCTGCTACAATGCTTCAACACTGGTGCGTGCTTCTGAAGCTCCTGCCACCATGCCTTCGACTCCATGTTGAATTGTACCATTCAAAAGTACGGCCAAAAGAAGCCCATCCCATAGGCAGTTTTTAGGTAAGGTATTTTTTTTTTCTGAGCAAGAAGAATAATAACAAAATGCATCTTGTTTTCCAGATTGCTCTTGTACATTCTTTCGGGCCCTAGTGTCTCTTTTTTCATTACTCCTTTTTTCATCTACTACTTTAGTATTTATAACTAAAGGCTCACTTCTTGACTACATAGTACTCTTCACAAGCATCCTGTGCTTCCCACCCTCCCCCACAATAGTTCATCTTTATGTTCTCGTTAAATCTGTTTTTGCTTATCAATGAAGGGTTCATCAGGCAAGTCTTCATGGAAATGTCTACATCCTCCCCCACAGTTGTACTTGGTTCCAGTTAGGCTTTCATTTTCTATGCTGCCCCTTTGCAAATAATTGTGCTTAACAGATAGGAAGAATTCCCCTTATGCCATGGTCCTACTTTATAGCGCTTCATAATTTCCAAATATATTCTTTTAATACTTCCCTTTTTTTCAAGTATAATAACTCTTGATTTTCTAATTTGTACTACCTTCTGTTCAGTCATCCCACTAGTTTGACTATATTGTTTCCCCTTTTGAGATTGGAAATTTGGGATTAAGCTGCATTATCCTTATTGTTTTGTTTTTGTTTGTTCTTTGTTTTTTAGTGTCTCTCAGAAGACTCAACTGTGCGTGAAGTTTTACAGAAACATTTCAATGTCGACAAAAACTTACGGTCATTACATATGCTGTTGGTTTGTATTTTTTAACTACATTTATTTTTGCATGATTTGTGAAAACAAAAAATTATATGTTAATGGAATGCCTTATGTTTCATACATTCATACATGGATAATCTTTATTTTTAACATTTTGAAGTGCCTTCAAACTGTTTTCAATAATAGCTATAATATTTCTACATTCCTACCAGTGGCATATAAGTCAAGAGTACTGCTTACATCGTGATGTGAAATTTTTAAACTTACAGGTGCATTTAGGACTAAACTTCCTATTTTATTACATTGACTATGCTGATATTTAGATATAGTATGCATCTTACTTGATTTAGTTATTGTTTATTTTCACTGATACTTCTCTAACACAGATCCAGTACATATTTTAAGTGTATAAATACTTAAATGTTTTACTTTCTTTGAAACAGTTGTAAATGGTATTTGTAAATTCTAGTATGTTCAGTCTTGCTGAACTCTGAGGTTTTTAAAAATAAGGTCTTTAGGATTTTCTGTGTAGACATATTCAAATTATCCACAAATAGGTACATTTTCTTGATCCCTTTCTAGTCTTTGTCTTTTCCTTTTCTGATTTTTTACCATGATTTGTTGGCTTAGAGTGTTGAGATTGATCATCTTTCTTTGTTGCCAGTTTTAAGAGGAAAACAGTCAGTATTTTAATATGATACAAATTTTAGATGTAAGGTTCCTTATATGTGGTCATTGCTAACCTCTTTTTTATGCCTAGTTTGTTGAGTTTATTATGAATGTGTCTTAGATTTTTGTCAAGTGCTAAATCATATGCTATGATTATATGCTTTTCTTTAGTGAATAATATGTCAGATATTACACTGATTTTTCTTTTAAGGTGTTTTGTTTTCTTTTTTCTTTTTTTATTTATCTTGTGGGTGTGGTCATGCCAAGGCCAATCAAGTACTTAATTGCTGTGAATATTAATTAATACTTGAACTTAGTCTGATAGTTCTAAAAAATTACAGTACGTGCCTTTCAGAAGAAAAGCATTTCTTGGTCCATTTGTTTCTGCTTTTCAGTACGGGAGTGAGTAATAGCAACCTTCTCTTAAGTAGCACGTTCTTCCCAGTAACAGGTCAGCTTTCTACGTAACCTCCAGCCATTCC